ACCACCCTCGTATTCACACACCCTTGTATTCTTACACTTATGTCCACCCAGTCTTTGTTTAGCAATATTAGCATTGTGTCTGAACACTCAATCGTCTCTTCAAACAGAGATTCAAATGCTTATTAATAAATAAATAATTAAATATACATGTATTCTTACTTTATCTAGTGGGTAAACACTCCATGATGTACCTCCTCCTAAAATATACAGTCGTTTACCATCTGTGGCCATTTCATGGCGATATCTTGGCTCCGGTATAGGAAGTTCACGGTTCAACAAGGTGCCTCTGGTTTTTATAAGTCTTTCAATTTCTGCTTCAGTGTCAAAGAGTCTTTCCCATTCTCTGGTCTGAAGATTGAGACGATGGACATCTGAGTTATACTGCCATCCTGTGGTGCCCCCTTGCACATACAAGCTACAATCAACTAAAGCAGTAGACTGAAAGATAAAAATAAAAAAGACATGAACATCACAAGATTTAAATTATTGTGCCATTAAAAAATTTTATACAATTTATGCAATTTACTTCAAATTATGATATCAGTATTTTTATTTTACTACCCCTAAAATATTCATCTTGGGTATGTGCTCTCTGGATTGTTTTGAATGTTAGTAATACAAGCTTAGAAAGAATTCCTGTACACTGATGGTACTGGAGGCATATGAAGTGACTCATATATCACTAATCTTAAAGATACACAATGTGAAAGCAATATGGTCCACAGAATTGAAGTTTATGATTTTAAAATATGCAAATTTATGCAAATTAGGTAATAAGCATGCACTGATTTCAACAAGAAACTAATCAGGTCTGCACATTGTCCTGAGCATCTATGTACCAAGGTTAATTGAATTGTGATTGTTGTGGAAAAGCTGAAAATTGGTTAATTATTAAGCATACTCGTTAATTACTATGCACATATTTAAAACCAAAACTCATCAGGTCTGCACAAGTTTTATTGACATGCAATTTGCATGAAATCAGCAGAACAGACATGACAGAGAAAGGTTTAAAGGGGACTACTTTGTATAAGATGACAAGGACAGTGAAGGGGTTAAAAGAGACTACTTTGTGGAAGTTGACCATGGAGGTGAAAGGGTTCAAGGGAATGACTTTGCAAAAGATGACATAATTAGAAAACCGTGACAAGGCAGAAGAAATTATCTGTTTGGCCAACAGAAAAACTGTATAGTGTATGTGTCAAATTTTGAGAAGGGAGCAATCCAGAAATTTTTTCTTCAACCTATATTATGGGTCATATATGTACATTGATAAGTTCACTAATCTAAATTATAATTTTTTTTATTGAAGAATTGTGCACTTTATGAATAGACTTCAGTGACAATGTGTCCACAATAATCTCAAACGTACATTGAGAATGTTGCTATTCAAAGTATATCTGACAGCAAGGCCAAGTTTTTTTTATAATACACAGTAATACTACAGTGGATTGTACAATGTTAAAATTGGCACCATATAGATTAAGATAATGGGTGGAGAGATCAGAATCTGACTGCAGGTCAGCTGTGAATGTCAGAACGGTAGCTGCTGCCCATACCACAGATAGACATCACTTACATGTATACTGTCTGGTTTTAAGAAACGATTAAGGTCAGTTAGTGTAGGTAACAGTTTCCATTATCTGGAAATCACTGAAGATACCTTGACCCAAATACAAATTTTACAGCAGAACAGAACATGCATCAACACATGTTGTCAGCAACTTGTCAATTGATATAAAAAAAAAATAAAAGTCATGTACATGTTGAAATAATACTAGTTCTAGTCGACAGAATTAACAAACATATTATGACAGATAAGTAATTTCCTTTCATATTTCCAACTAAGTAAAAACTATTATTAACCATAATTGCTATAAATATGAGATTATTTAATTTCTTAGTCAGTTACCAGCATGGAGAGGGAAGACGTAAGCCAATGTGATTTCACAATATTATTGAGCGGTATAGCTAATACATGTACACACAGAAATATGCATATGTAAACCCAAAAATACATTTATTATATGATGTTCCATTAATACACAGCTAAATTTGGTCACAAACATTCTTCTTTTATTTATGTAAGTGCTAATAATGCAGTAAATGGGGTACATGTACTGTTTTATCAACCAGATTAGGTATTTCATTACAAAAATTTGACGTTTAATTACTCTATTTCCTGAGATGATTACATAAAGTTTTTAAAAAAAGACCATTTTTTTTCATCTAATACTGGTATGTAATTCACTACTGGAGCAAAGGGAAATAATTTCCTGATATCAGGCAGATCAGAATGTTTCTTTTATTACAAGTTTGTTGAAAGCCCAAGAATAGATATATATTGTTAGTGACAGTATACATTTCTGTAAACCGTCTTCCCCAACATGGGAAGGGAAGGGGTGTGGACAAAAACTTTGCAGTATACTTAATACATTATTGATGATGATCACATACAGGCCATTATTTAACCTAACAACCCACAAATTAATTTCAGAATATACATTGCATTTCAATTTCCCTAATAAGCCAATATATTGGCCAAAATGAAACCAATTTATGGCCAATGTACATTATGTATGCATGGCAAGTAGCCACTCACACCTGAAATAACGAATTGATTGAGGTACATGTATGTACTCATGCTTGTCAATTCAAGGAAGGATTTACAGATACTAGATTCAAGATTTTTATAATATTTTCCTTATACTATTATAAAAGTGACAGTCATAAAAAGTCAAAACAGTTACAGACCTGGGAATCACAAAAGCCATCACGACATAAAGACTGGGTTGTAAAACTCATGCACCATGACATATAAGCATTGCAAAATCCCACTGACCAGTGTGTGGTTATTAATTAATAAACAAATGACAACACCAGTACTTTTTCTTCATTAAAAAGTCACATGAATATTTTAATTTTATTAACCCTCCACAAATTTCAATAAAAGCCACAACCATTCATAATAGTCTGAATAGAAAGTGTTTACATAGTTGGGGTATGAAAACCTGCAAGTTAACAAGTCGACTATTTGTTTAATAATAGCGGTAAATTACTATACATACAAGCATCCCAATTTACAGTTAAACTGCAGAGCATTTTAAAACATATTATAAATGGAGTTGACAATCTGATATGTATTTGGTTCATTAATTCACATCTCCAGGGACTAGACATGATCCATGTAGACATTTTGGTGTCAATTATACAGTCATCCGTTTGTTGTAATGCAAGACAGATACTTCCATACATAAGCCACTGTGCATAACAATTAATATCATCAATATACAAATATACATGGCCCCTGCCATGAGAAAACACAGGAAAATTTGATTTACACTCTTTTATTATAGTTTAAGATATATCAGTGTTCAACAGGACATTGATATCGGTGAACCACTTGATAGAATGATTCACTCAGTCTGTAGGCATCACAAGCTCCCACAGGTATTACAGTCTTACGCCACCAACTAGAAACGCGTACTCTGGTTATATCGTATATTTATTCCATATGGTCAATCGTTACGGAATCAAAACAAGTTAATACATCTCCAGAATATGGTTCTAAAATATACAAAACAAAATAGGGAAACTATAATAGTCGAAGTAAATCAAACAATTCTCATCATAAAATGTACAGTAAATTAAATATACATTTCTCTTAATATGTGCAGAAAGTCGAGCGATACAACCAATAAATATACAGCAAA